GGGAGCAGGGGGTGGAGAGGATGCTCCGGGGCCCCGCCGAACCATGCAGAGTTTCTCCTGCCTCTCCAGCGGCTTTTGGAGGGAGGGAAAGCAGTGGGTCGCTGAGCTGTGCGCCGGGAGCTCCCAGATCGAAGGGTCAATCTAAAGGCACTAAGGACATTCCCAGCCACTATCGTGGCTCCTTGCTGCCCTTAGCCCCAGAGGGCTCCAGCGCAGCTTTCCCAGCACTGATCCCTTCTCTTCTCCCCCAGGTGATACACAACTATGGCCACGGCGGGTTCGGGATCACCATCCACTGGGGCTGTGCCATGGCAGCAGCCAGGCTCTTTGGGAGCATCCTCCAGGAGAAGAAGCTGGCCAGCCCGCCACAGCCCCGCTTGTGAGTTGCCTGCTCACCTGGGATTATCGTGACAGCAGTAGCTTAGAAATCACAGCAGAAAGATGCAAATAACACAGTGATACACGTGGGCCGTTCAACCCTCCCGCCAGCTCCAACACTGGTTCATAGTGTCTCGTTTTCAGGTTTCTGCCAGTTCTGTCGCTGCCGTTTGCCAGCCGGCTGAGTTGCCTCCACCCTGGCCTTGCACAACCTACCTAAAGGAAGTGCTTTAAAATATGGACTAATTATCTGTGGCAAAGTGCACTTCTGTCCTGAGGATCAGTCTGCAAAGGGCAGGCAGGGTTCAGCTGAAATCTTGACAGTCCTGCAGTTCATCTGCATGATGGGACAGGATCTGAAACTGAGCCGGTGCCACCTGAGGTCTTCACTGACTGCTCCAACACCCAGCGTGTAATTAGATTTGCAAGCTTCCCCCAGGAGGCAAAAGCTCCTTAGTAGGAAGCAGCTCTGAAGCTCCCAGGGAAGTAACAACAGCTCTAAAAGCACGTGCTTCAGTTACAATAGCTTTTCTTAACGTTCATGCCAGGACAAAGCGTGGGTCTACAGCACCTGGTTAGTGTATCTGGCAATAGACAGATACACTATTTAGCAGCAGTTGCCTAAAATGGGCTTTCCAAATGATGTTTTTAGCAACAAAAGCAACATGTTCCAGCCCTGTGTACTTGCCAGACTCTATATATAGCAGAGAGCATACACAAAATAGCTGTTCTCGTCCCTAAAACTCCCACGGGCCCTTCAGTTTCTTATTTTCTCCAGCCGTGAGACGTGGCTGGAGCAGCAGCTCTGAGAGAGGAGCTGACTCAGGGTAGGTTGTGCCTCCCGAAAGAGTTGGGGACAGCTCCCAGGAGGCTATGACTTTTCGGGGCTGTTCAGTGCCGCTGCTAGGGACCCAAGGCACTGTTCTGAAGATACAGTTTGGCCGATTTTTCCATGCCACTTGTCTTACCTGCTCTAAAAAACATCACAGACAAGGTACTGAATGGTCAAGAAGCATTAGCCTCAAATCCAAAGGCTAGCGGTTGTCCCAAGCCCAGTGCATAGTGCCTGGCTCGCTCTCCTCCGCAGAGAAGCCAACTGTTTCTTACTCAACTGTGATGCAGGTTCTCTCTCCCTCTGACTCCATGTGCCAGAAATAGCTCATCAACCTGATTTGTGATGTACCAGGCAGCTGCACCTGGTGAATGAGAGATTCTGCAGTGCAGCGGGGCTCGTTTTACCTCCTGGGCACCTGGATTTAAAAGAGTCCCACAAATAGCGCACGCTTCCTGGTCACAGCCTGGCACCAGAGTCGCCAGGCTGTCGAAGGACCCGTCTCCTGACATACTGCTTCGGTTTCACCAAGGAAAAGAGAAACTTGTGAAGGCTTTGTAGGAAGCGATGAGCGCTCAGTGCTGCTGGAGGTGGTCCATGCACACAAGATCTGCTGCCCCGTGCGCGCGTATGAGACTGGTCTCATTTTCAGCAGTGCTATGGAGGTTAGCGTGCCAGCGCAGCCGTGGCCCTGGGAGACTTTCCAGCGACCTCATTTTCCACTGAACACTATGTGACCGTTGTGTACTTCTCCAGCTTACACACCCTGAGCAGTCAGAAAGTTCTGATGAGCTTTGCTGAGTGCATCTGCTAATTGTCTGCCCTTGTATAAAAGCAGCAATGGTCACTCTCACTGTAAGGGCCAGAATTTCTCAGCAGCTGCTGCCCTGACCCCTTCTCTTCCTCACTTCCTTATGAAAAGGTGCGGGACGGTGGTGTTTGCCTCTGCTATGACAGCTGCAGTGCTGGCAAAGTGACATTGCATGGCAATTCTCATGCCTGTGGCACTCGAGTCCAAGGCAACAACTTGCTGTCGAAGGCACCAACGAGAGCAGGTGCTGAAGTTCCTCTGGCTGCCATTTTGGCCTAACGCTGGTGCTCCTCGCATCCTTGCAGAGCATAAAACACTTTGTGATAGCTGTGGTCATTTGTGCTTTCTGGTTGTCGCTCAGCTGCAGAACACAGTCACTTAGGCCAGCCCTGTCCAGCTGCCACCGTAACAGAGGTGACAGGAAACTCTGGCAGCTGCTGTGGAGTTATGGCACAGGTTAGGGCGGACCAGCGTCCGTCCTCAGGAGGCAGCGGAGCGTGGGTGTGCGTTAAAGAGCCTGCCGTTGTCTGGTAGCTGATGCACCTCTGCAGTGTGCTTAAAAAACAAAGGTAGACATAGGAAAATTAGGAGCCCCTGTCATGTCCAGTCTGTCTGTCAAAAGGATTTCCCAGTTTAGCTGGCAGCTCCCCTGATACGTTGCAGTCACGTTCAAAGGGGTATAATCAAGAAAAGGATAGGAAAAAGAAAACACCACCTGGAGAAAATTTACCATTGATTAACGCTAAACCTAATGGTCTGTGATACCACTTCAGTAGAAGCCATCCAGTGGAATAGCCTCCACTTCATTTCACTTATTCCAAATATGAGATATTAAGGACCATATTGTCCTCCCATTTGCACTGCTGTAAATCCAAAACCACTCAACCGATTTCAGAGGAGCTATGCTGGATTAGCAGGGGTGTAGCAAATCATTGTACAGCTTGCATAAGCAGTTGATTCTTCTGATCTTAGAGCCTATAGGAGCAGCTGTCTTTTGATCTGGCATGGCCTCTTAGAAAACAAAACAAATGATTAGGTGTGTAGTTTTATTTGCAGTCTAATTTTGCTTATTTTCTAAAAGGCCACAATTTAGTATGTGTGCACAATAAAGGTAATATTCAAATATCTCATGCGTGATGCTTTCTCCTCTTAATGATGGCATGGATAGGGCCTCAAATGCTAATTCCATAGAAACATCCCAGTAGATCATCATTCCATGTCTGCCCACACATTTTTCCTGAACATTTTATCCTGCAGGAGGAAGAGCCGTCATTTCAGATTCTGAGGAGACAAATGAACCTGAAATACCATCGTGCGAAATTACGTGGTTGCCCGCATGTTGTTGGTAATAGCCCCGGGCCCATTAAGAACCCACACTCCCAGACGTTTGGGATGCTGGGACGCTCTCACGTAGCTCAGGTGATCACTCTGTTTTGAGACTAGAGCGACAGGAAAGGTATTTTACAGTGTTGGCAGCCACAGATGAAACACTGTGGGACAGAAGAGTCATGAGACTGAAGTTCACTTTTGTGGCAAGGGTAAGGTAAGAGAGAGTCAGTGGGATGTCTGGACAGCTACTGCACGTACTTCCTCGACAAGCACAAAACACCACCTCCAGCGGCCAGCATCAGCACATTTTACGAACTCACAGTTCTCAACAACGATCGCCTGTGACACAGAACAAAGCTGGAAATACATCAAGTATCAGTAAAGTTATCCTCTGTAAGCAAACGGCAGCTCTGGCATTTTGGAAAACAGAATGAGCTTTAGAAATGGCCGAGGATGCCAAAAAGTTCACAGAAAACACAGAAGAATGAATATTCTCCCTAAGTGTTGCTTCCGCGATACAAACCCTTCTGTAGTTACCAACTGTTTCCATGCCCAGAAATAAGACTCTTCATCCCAGTGGACTGTCAACGGCTGCACAAGCTGTGAGAAGGAAGATTAATGCACGCTGAGATGAGAACACACTGCATTAGCATGCAAAGCATTTGCAGATCGTTAGTCATTTTGACTCAGACATGAACAACCTTATGTTTGTAAACTACTGGACATCAAAATAAGAAGATCATTTAAAGGGTAGAGGAATACAGTCAGGGTTATGCACTTAATTATATTTTATAAAAACGAGATAGGTAAAAGAAAAGTTTACATTAAAAAGTAAATAAATAGAAGGAACCCTCCCTGCCCCGAAGTCCAGGCACATGAGCCACCTCCTCCCAACATGCCTTGTGACCTACAATCACTTACTGCAGCATTAAGGGCATTGCTAGAAATTACCCATAGGCAAGAAGCAAAACTGGCTGGTTTTTATTGTCCAAACTGAATTAAATGCAAAAGCAACTAAAGATCTTAAGATAATTTTAAAAATATTCAGCTGTAGTTATCGATGAGGTTACTTATACTGCAGACGTGAATCCTGTGACTTTTCTTTATGTCCGACTGCACAAAACACACACACAAAATGAGTGGGATCTGCAACGTGCGGAGCCCTTGCATATCCAGCTGAGTCCACAGAGCAGCATGTGGCTCAAATCTCTGAATATCAAGACAAAAAATGGTAAAGTTACTGACCCTTCGTAGAAGTCCCATAGAACAGCCAAAAGCATTTTTACTGAAAAAAACTATTTATTTGTTTAACATAAAATATCTAGTGTGGAATTAAACTATCCAATGTTGCATCAGTAACAGAGGAACAAAAGGAATATTTTACAAGCAGCTTGATAAACACAAAGTTTTTAAACATTAAAATGTATCCAGCTTAGAAACTGTACATTCAAACACAGGAAAACATTCAGTGTTCTTTCGGCAAGCATTTAGGAATAATAAATCATTCCATCAAAGCACACTTGGAGAATTATTTTTCCCGCAACAGCTTTGCACATTAATACATTGGACGGTTAGCAAATCTCTGAATCTCACAATTCTGTTCGCTCTCGATTTTAATTCAAAATTATCTCACTTTATTGTTTTAAATGAACGAGCTATATTAATTCCTTCATCAGTGAAAAATACTTGACAGTGTGTAAAACAATCTTTGGAAGCTTATTATATACATCAATGGTGTTGCCATATTAACAAAATATGACTCGTGATTATTTATAGGCTATTGTGTATCAACCCAAATGTTGTTCAGTTTTTCAGTGAACAATCTAAAACGTCCTTCCATCATTAATAATATGCAAGGACCTGCAGAACCTGAACCTCAGTTCTGATTCTTCAGTGCCCAATAGGCTCCTACTGATTTCAGTGAGGTGGGATCAGCTGTGGCGGGCTTCTACCTGTCTTCCTCTATTTAGCTGATCCAAAGCCCAGGAATATCCACGGGAGATTCCCCCAGACTTCAGTGAGCTTTGGATCACGCCTTAGGCATCACTGTCTTTAAGTCAAAGACCCAGAGTATGAAGATGTCTCAGCAGGACCAATCTTGGCATTTATATCAATATATACATTTTCAGCGCAGAATTCATAAAAAATGAAAAGCAAAAATGCCTTCAATTTTTTTTTAATACTGTAAATGTCACAGGTTAAAAACTGAACTACTCAACAGCATCAAAAGGTTTTGCATTACCTAGAAATCTTTACCTGGGAAATGAAGTATACATACGTGCAGATCTATGAGATATATATACTTCACCTAAAGCACTCTGAATGCACACTTTGAAGGCCAATGCAATGAAGTCCTTTAAAACTGTTGAATATTGACTCAAAAAAAATGAAGTGACATGTGAACATTAACACAGGAAAAGCCGAATTTTAACTAAAGGCGCTCAGTAACAGACAAACAAACTTAGCAGCTAGGCTGTAAGAAGGCATTCCTTCAGGCCATGGATGTCATGCACTTTAAATTCTTTTTCACCTCTAATGCAGGCTTACACCCCGCTGAATTCTCCTAGAGGCCATCCAGTTTTGGGGCGTACACCTAACTGTAAACACAGCTAACGGCAAGCCCACGTGGCGAGAGACACTTAAGCATCTGGATGTGCCCCCATCAGGTGTGGGCTGGCATGCTCTCAAGTGCCTTCACCAGCAGGAGGAAGAAGATGGTAGTCAGAACTGTCATTAAAGGGTGAACAGTCCATACTGTGCAAAGGCAAAGCAGGTTTTCTAGCTCGCTGGTCACCTGTGTGGTCTAATATCTGATCTAAACCCATCCAGGAACTGCTTCCTCACTGCCAATGTCCTGTCCAGCTCTCGCACATCGGAGGGACAGTCCAAGGAGAACAAGCCCATCTATCTCTACTTTGAGGCAGCACTGAGCTACCCCAGTTGCACAGTGCATTAGGGAGAATTATCCAACTACAGCCTGACAGAAGGAGGTGAAAACAAACTATTTGCACTGGTTGTCAGCGCCACGAGAGCCCTGCCTGTTTTCTGGGGATCGACTGGAACTTGAGCTTGCTGGAGGTTGAGCACACAGGATACAGAGACAGCAGAGACAGAGATAACCAAACCAGCGCACAGCAACAGCTACTGGAACAGACAGTGTGTTTCTATGTCATCAGCCACATCTAATGTGGGATCCCCTGTGAGCTGAATTGCATTTTTGTATTACTGTGAAAAGGAAAGTTTGCCTGTTTAGACCAACCACTTCTGGAGTCTTTCATTGCAGTCACCATCATCGAGTGGTAAATGAATGAACGGACATTTCGGTGCCTTGTCAAACTTTAACTTTTCTCAGCAGGAGATACCCACACACAAAATATCAATAACCTCTTTGGCCTTTTTTTATTAGTCTGAGTTTCCTCAGTTTCTTTAAGGAATTATCCGCTTCTGGTTTTCCTTCGGTGCTATAAACAAACAGCCTAACATACCTTGGAGCATTATACTGCACTACAGTGCTGTAAAACCCTAAGTGAAAGCTGAACCCCAACTGTGTTCATTTGTATTGCACCCAAAACATGGACTCGGTGACCTATTCTTGCCCCACAGAAAAAGGGCCCGGTTCCCAGAATACTTAAAATATTCCACTGTGCAAAAATTTGCTGCACACTTAACTATGTTTATGTGAGACAACTGACCACACATACTATAAAAATGTATTGCTTTCCACAGCCTAGTGATTAGCATTTAGTCCATCTCACTTACATTTGGTTGTGTGTTCCATAGTCTGGAATCCTGAAAACAAACTGAGACATGGATGAGACATGTCTCAGCTTCCTTATGCATTTCCTCGCTGCACATCCACAGACTCTGACATCTGACTTCCTGCATAGTGACAGATTTCGAACAAACAAGACAAACTTATCCTCACCTGAACTCTGTTACATGCTCTGACAAGAGCAGAATCATCAACCTCGAGGAGCGACATCTGAAGGAGTGAAGTTCCTCATCTGAGGATGCTTGCAGTTCGGCTCTTCCCGTGATTTTTGTTCGTTTACGACGTGATGCCAGCTACATTCCTTTGTCACCAGCTTGACGTTACAGTCAATGTACAATCAGCAGCTATCGAAAAGTTCTGCCCAGCTGTCAGGAGGCCAGCTTCTGTTGGGAGACACTTGAGAGCAGCTCCATCCAAACTGCTACACACAGCTGTTCAGACTGAGGCATTTTTATCAAAGGTTTTGGCTACACCACCACAAGAACATACTTAGGCAAATTGAGCAGAAACATACCTGGACCCATGCAGAAAACCACAGCGTGCATCTCCACACACAAAGAGACACCAGTACAGCTGAAGCAGTCTTCACCAAGCAACAGACAGAGTGCTCAGTGATTCTGGCAATGTTAGAAAAGTCAAATTCTGCTCCAAACCATGAGGATTTACATTTCTTATATAAGGTTCCATCTCTGCAACAAATACCACTCCTCACTGACTCAAACTACCTGCCTTGGACGGGAGAAACATTCAGAAAATCGTTTCCAAGCAATCAGTGCCTGTTAATTCTCGAGGAACAGAACCCATAAGCAAGGGAACTAGAAAGCATTGGTTGATTTGCCGTTATCACATTTTGTTGTTGTTGATGGCTAAAAAGTGCAAGGCAGGCATCTAATTCATAAAACCTATTCTGTAGTGTATGGAATCCACCGTGTGCTATGCCAGGTACACAATAAATATTAATCTTTTGTTTTTAGGCATCAAGAGTACATTATTTTAATTACAGCTTATACTGAGTTGCATTCAGTTAGCTATTTGCTTGGCACGGGACGTTTTAAGCTGAATAGCTGACCATGCAAGCACAACAGACTTAAGAAAAACCCTTCCTGCTAAACTTCAGATGATATCTGGATCAAATGCCTCTCAATACAGAAGTAAAGTTTTTATGAGTGTGAGCAAAGAGCAGCAGAGACACAATTTGCTTAGGTTCAACCCAAAAGTTCCTGCAGTTTGACACATGACATTGGCAGTGACAGTATGGTCAGCTTTCTATGCTTCAGGGTTGGATTTTTTGTGAAAGATCTTGCTCGTATCATTCATTCTTTCAGCAGGTTTTCATGTCCCATCATTCCTGTGATCCGGAGTTTGACCTGGTGACCCCTGGGGAATGAGATCCTCTCCCAACCATCTCCTGTCCCCATTCTCTGTGGCTAGACTCCTGTAAGCCACGACCTTTTGTTTCAATGGGCAAGAAGCAGGAAGCCACAGCGGCCAGCAGGCAACATCCACTGTAAACCACCAGTGTTAAATAGACTGAAGATTCCAACATCACCTGCAGAAAAAAGGCAGAAAATACCAAATAGTACCCCTGAGCCTTATCACAGAAAGAAATACAAATACTAATGTAGTAGTAGAAATTTTAATTACAGTATGGAAAAAATGTTTAATGTGCACTGCTGCATAGTTTCTTTCCTCAATGATTACACATAGCTATTGAACACTTACAAAACAGTCTGGATTACAAGTGCCACAAGGTGCTGCTGCCCTTTCGTATTAGACAGGACTTAAGGAAATCACAAGTTTTCTACCTAGCCATCTGCAGAGCCACTGCTTCTTACCCAGTCTTCTGAGTCCTGTCCCTGTGGAGCCTGGCTTCCCCCAACCTCACTGTCTAGCTCTTTCCACACACCCCGAAGGTTTGTAGCCCCCAGGACCTCAGCCTGGGATCTCAAGAGAAAGGTGGCATTGCACCATGCACAGAAACTCCCTGCCTCTCACAAATCCCATCTTCAGGTGGTAGCTTCTAAGGTGTCCTTACAGCCATCCAGCAGCCTGCTTCTTGGTTATCTTATCCCCCAACATATGGAGCTCTGGAGCAAGAGGTAAATTCAGAGATGAGCCTTAACTCTCCTCAAGGAACAGGCAACAACAACCCTCCTTCAACACATCATGCACAGATCGCCCTTGGTTTGGCCCTTACAGCAGAAAAGCAGGTTGTCCATCACCTTCCTGTGCCTTCAGTCTCAGAAGGAGAAGGGATTTTACCTGTGCAATGAACGGGGTTATGAGGGCTCCCACTCTGGCCATTCCACTGCATGTTCCCAGGCCCAAAGCACGCGTGGCTGTCGGATAAACCTGTGAACAAAGCATCAGCCCATTAACGCTAGTGGGAAGTTCTCTTCCCACCGGTCTCCTAAATCAATGGAAATTAATAAGTGGTATTACAGCAAGTTCTGTTAGACAATGACAATGAGATCACCAACTCATATTTGGGGTAAGGTCCATTGTGAAGAGGTCATAAAAATGACTTTCCCACCATGTTCTCACTCCCCTTAAATATTCTCATTACAAAAGCAACCTCCTTACCTCAGGAGTGTAAACATAAGCAGCCTGAAATCCTCCTGAAATAAAAGCTCTTGCAATGAAGAGCAGCACAGTAAGAACATTTCTGTGAGAATAAAAAGGAGAGCAGTGTTTGGGATTGTTCTGTACAGTCTGTTTGTTTAACTTGGAGGCAAGTGCAATAAAAATGCTAAATTTGTTAGAACGATTCCTTTTGTTTTTTAATGAACCCTTTGTATTTTTTCTGGACCTTTAATATAACAATGATGCCAAACAATCTGCATTCCCACAATCACATCAGCTTTCTACGTGTATTCATTCCAACTCACAGCTGTGGCCTATTGAAATAAGCAGTGAATGCCTAAGTTTATCTAAATAAGAAAAATATATTCCACGTTATGAATGGTGCTAACAAAAAAATGGCACGCATGAGAAGGAAATGAGAGTGCAGTTTTCCTGTTGAAAGGACACGAACCTACGTACTACCTGGATATTTGCAACTTTGTAAGGTTTCTTATTACAAGGTTTCTGTACTATAAGGTTTGGTACAGTGCCTGAAAAGGTTTAAATTCAGAGAGCTCTCCTCTGGCTGTTAGGTCATTTCCTTGTTCGTCAGCCCCAAGGTACAGACATTGTTCCATGCATGTGGCATGAAGGCCAGATGCAGTCAGAGGCAGACTCTCAGAGCTCAGCTGGAAATTTGGTACCTTTAAGATTCAAGGGCAGAGCGGCCAACTGACTTGTTCTCTGGAAAATCTGCATGAAGGACGGACACTGAACAATACAAAAATGTGAACCCAAGTTCTTTTGAAAGTCGGGCCCCATGTATCTGCAATGCCAGCATCAAGCTCCACCAGCCATACTGTATACAGCTTCGAGGTTGTGCCAGTCTGTGTCGACTGCTTCTCACGTAATTGTGCCATAGCACCTAGACCACCGAGAGCCCGTGACAAGTGAACCAGTCAGAGCAGCTGAATGGGAGGCAGAGACTGGGCTTGGTTGTGAAGCTCTGCCCTGGTACAGTCAGCCTGGGGAAACATAGGTAATGAATGGCAGAGAGCAGTACATGAACCAGCTACCGAGGCTCATGACATCAGATCTAATTTAAAAATTGTCCAATGGTGATCTCCTACTCAGACATAAGCTCTTATTTTCCCCTTTGGATTGTTCTGTCCTCAAGATCATAGTGAAGGATTTCTCCTCTCCTGCTTCTTTTAGTTTCCTTACAAACTCTGGTGAGAAAACCTAACACCATCCTTAATTCATTCGCCAGTTGAGCACGACCATCTCATGGCTTTTCAAACCACCACTTCCAGTTCTCCTGCCATAATCAAGAGAGATCATGGATGAATCAGATATACCAGTTGTTACCATGTTTTACTTACCTTCCAACGCAGAGAAACAGCAGAAGACTGCAAAACGAGAAGACAAAAAAGGACAGGGCCATGGTTTTCTTGCGACCTATCCGATCAATAATCCATAGTGTTACTAACACACCTGTAGAAGGAGACAAGTTGACTGTTAGGAATTGAGCAAAGGTGGAGGCTGCAGCAGCTGGTTTTTAACATAGGCTGGGTTATTTAGATTTGAAATTTTGTTGTCTCTTTCTTTAAAATACTTTGCCGGCAGAGGCATCAGGCAGATTGCCCCAGCCATTGGTGCCACGTGAAAACAGAAGCTCTGTGTCCCAGCTGGTGAGTCTTGCCCTGTGTTCACAGCTCCACTGGTCCACACATCCACATGCCCACACACTCGGGGGCTACAGTGAGCAATCAACTCTGACATCTGTTAACCACTGATTATTGCAGTGGTTATCAACGTGAATGCTAAAAATGCTTGCCTTATGTCTCATTGGAATATCTTTTGTTCAACTTCTGACCATTGTTCCCGGCTAATCTTCCTACTGCTAGATTTAAGGGGTCTTTAGAACTTTGTATTTTCTTTCCATGGTGTTATTTATATGCTGCCATCAAATTATTTCTCACCTGCTTTTTGATAAAGAAAATAGATCAAGCTCTGTTAAGTCTCTCAATGTTAAGTATTCTCTCTTATGCAACTTTTCCAGATCCTTTTAAAAAGTGGATGTACAGCAAGTGTGGGGATTATTCAAGCATCAGAGTTGCCAGTGTCATATTCAGAGGTATCCCTGTTAGTATTTCTTACTCCTACCTTAGTATGTCTCAGGATTAAACCAGTCCTTTCAGCTATAGCATCAGTCCAAGAGTACATACTCTCTTTTCTGTCCACCGTACACCGACATCCTCCCCAGAATGACTGTTATGCAGAACAGTCCTCCCATTAGGTAGGGACTATGCATATTTGCCAGTCATAGACTTACAACTTTTCATCTATTAAATGGCTTCTCTTTGAGCATTTGTCCCTGAAACTATAATCTAGAACAGTGAAAATAACTTGACTACTGCCTCACAGTATTATTTCAAACATATTAATACTGAGAGATCATCTTCTACATCTGAAGAAACAATGGCTATTACATGCTAACTATCTTGCTTGTCCTGTGTCAAACTGTTCATTGAAATTCACTGAAATTGTCTGAAAATCATGACTGAGGCTGGACACAGAGCTTTAGGAAGCAAGTTCTCCATTGATTCACTATACCACGATCCTTTTAAAATAGTTCTGGAAAGTCATTTATGGATAAAAGTTCAAGTGATTCTGCCCCTTTGATTTAATTGTTACTCTTCCTCTGAACGCCTAATATGTTGCTTGGATAGAATCCATAGTCAGAGGGACCATTATAGCTTCACAAAGCAATTACTGGTGATTTTCTCTGTAGTGATCACATGGGCAGTGAAGAGAGCTACAGCTACTGTGTGCACTGCATATATCAAGTAGTCCAAGCAAGGAGCTCCAGTGCTGCGGGAAATGCATTGGCACTAGGCCAGGCAGAAGAGCCTATTTCATGGCTTGTGCCAGAGCCCATTCCAGTCACATGGAGCCACTGGCAGTGAAGAACTCGTGCTTCTTATTGTCACTTACCAGGGAATTCTGACAGGGTTGTCCAGAGCAGATCAGTGTAGTCTTCCTCTGTCAGATACTCACAGGTCAGGCTGCACTTTGCTTTAACTTCTTTCCTTCTACTGGATACTGTGGGAGGAAAAAGAAAAAAACCAAACATTTAATATATTTTAAGTAACCTTTTCTCTGCTTACCTTCCTTTACTCCTGCTATGTCTTTATCACTCTTACTGCTGAAACTGATAGAAGGGACATACTGAAAAGACCCTGCTACACAGCAGGTATGTTCTACCTGGAAGATACAGCTGAAACTTAACAGTTTATAATCTTATTTGTGGCAGGATGTCTTACCTCTGCAACCATCACTATCAGAATGAAAACTTACACCTCCTTATCAGCTGTACAGGCTTAGTTATTTTTCAGTCCAGGGCTCATGACAGTGAACAGAATTAACATCAATAATTCAGTTTCTCCCTACATAAACTGGGATACTAACACTTAATGTATACTTTGAGAAGACTGAATAATACCGTGTCTTTGTGAAAACAAGTATTTTTAAAGGATGCATGCTCCTTTGTGGAGGCTAACCAGAGTTAGACCTCTCAAATAGCTAATACACTGTTGTACAAGCTTTGGATCTGTGTCTTCTCCCAATACTACCCATCCTCTTTCTAGAATTTTCCAACTATCAGACAGTTTTCACTAATTACAAGTGTTCTGAATACAATCATGCCTCCCCTGGGGAATCAAACTTTTCAAGCCTCTTCTTAATGCAGTCAAAGCACTTTTTTTTTTTTTTACCACAAAAATCTGCAACAAAAAGGGCAATGGTTTCCCACCATTATCTTTTTTCTCAGCAGGTCATCACAACTTGAGAACCTGGGAGCTCCACAGCAGCAGCAGTTACCTCTATCTCAGAACTAATTAGGCCTGTCAAATCTGGAAACTTATATTTATTCAATCACTTTTTTCTCAAGAAGAACAGTTACTTTTTCTAACAGGTCTCCCTTGAAGGTTGTCTTGCTGTTTTACATTTTGGGCTCAGAGACACTGCAGGACCTCTCTGCATTGTGCGGAAGACAAGGAACAGTCTATCAAAAATGTTTCAAATAAGTAACCCTTTAAGTGGAAGCCTTAAAATTCAGGCTGGCAGCCACAGTCCTTTCCAAACTAACAGCAGAAGGTGACCTAATAAAAGATATTCCACCACTTAACAGGGTATATTTAAAAAGGACTAATACTCACTGCTGCAGACGTCTCCTGCTTGGAAGAACTCTGTAGTTAATAAAACTAACCCATAATATGAAAAAGCATTGGAAAACCTGCAAGGAAGAAAATGAGAGAGGAAGTCTCAGCTCGTCAAACCTATAGTAAACAATGTGAATGAAAATTGAACCTACTGTGTGAGGACTTCCACTAAGTGCTACCTCAAAGCTATTTCCTATCAGCATTTAGAAAATGAAAGGGCAATTAGATTGAGAATGCTAGTGATTGGGTGGTTTAATAAATTACAAATCAATACAAGTAGGCATTTTTTTTGAGGAGGAAGTTGCTGTATTTTAATGACACTGTAAAATACCTCCATTAAAAACCATTTAGAATTGTGCTGGCACTGAGCCATTTATATTTCCTCTTACCATATAAACCAGAGTAACAACGTGGTCCATCTAAAATGGGGCGTGAAAAGGTCCCTCATTTTTCCTCGGTCTTCCTGTTGAAAACAAGCGGAAGTCAGATGATCAGGGCACTCACTGGTCCTGGACTGGAGGATGCAGAGTGGCAAGGGATAATACGATACACAGTACTATGTACTATATCTCAGGATGAGTGTTTGGTTTCAGCTGAGGGCTCTTCAGGTTGTAGGAGCCACACTGGAGCTGGGATCCAAGCAAAGAATTCCTCTGCCAAGGGGAATTCTCTAGGAGCACAACGATATCAAAACCAGTTCATGCACAGGGCACACTACTCCTCCACAAGGAAGGTGAGGATCTGTCAAAACAAGGTGGGGCTGGAAAGAGGTAGAGCAGAACTTTGCCAATCCACAGGTGGCATACAATTCATGTGGTCCACAGCCAGCTCCCATAAATTAGAGCAGCCCCTCAGGGCTTCTGATCTAGGGTAAGGTACTGAGGAACTACAAGCAGCCCTCCTGCAAGCAGACCCCTTTTAAACTGCGTGGTTCTTAGAGAGAGAGAGTGGAGGGCTCAGCCCATAAACTTGTGGTTAAGGAAAAGTACTTTCCCACCCCACCCTGAAAACAAAGCCACCCAAAACTTGGAGAGCGTTCCTGCACAGCCCATCAAAATTATCGTGACTGAACCAAGCATTTGTGAAACGCACAAGAGCTCAAATCCTCACTGAGCCAGACCTTAGAAAATCAAACCTCCATCTCTGATTAGTAAAATGCTGTCGTTACCAGCAGGCTCCTGCCTAGCTCTACAATTTTGCTCTTGTTCAAATCTACCAGTCTCCCTCTGCTGTCCTTCCTTGCTGGCTAACTTTGTAACTTTCTTTTCTTATAAAAGTCTGCTCTTTGTTCTGTAAATGTAGAGCTGCTTTAGATGTTGACAGCGTGCTGAAAAGTTGGCCATATAAAGCTGAAATGAAAAAAAATCCAATGCAATTCATACGGTAATATGCAGCTCAGAAATAACAGCCTGAATTACTCCATGCATTAGGACTGAATAGGAGCTTGCAGCTTTCCCACTCCGGAAAATCAGGAATAGATTAAAAATGAGGTACAGCTAAAGAGTCAAATTCCATCCTGTCTCATGAGTTCAGATCTGGGAATTCTGATCTGAGTTCTTCGGTAGCCTCAATGTTTGATTTTCTTTAATAATAGGGTCTTAGAGTGAGGTTAAATAACATTAATGCCCACTTTAAAGGTCCTTTTCACTTTCAAGATTTTCATGTAAATAAAAATGAGAAACCAGCTCTTCCTCACTGTGAAAGGGCGTATAAGATCATCCCTCATTTTTTTATTACTGGTTGAGACATTAAAATTAAACTTAACATTGATTATTTGCTTATAGAAACACATATGAATGTAGCACAGTTTCATTGTATCCCACGTTATTCATGTGCCTGCTACCTGTACATACCTGTCTGGAAATAATTAATTTTCCCAAAGGCATTGGAGCTCCATTTTCCGTTGCTATCCGCTTTAAAGTGGCAATTGCTTTTTCTTGATTTCCAGATAATACATCATACCTGGCACTTTCTGGCAGCCACTAAGAGAGCAAAGCAGAGCACGTGCACAACGATGTCAAAACGCAGCAATAAACAAACCGAGGATTTTCTTTGTGGGCTTACAGTGGGAAATCTCAGTGACTCCAGCAGACTACTCGCATAGGAAAGGATTACAGAACTAAACTTTAACAATTCAGAGAACCGTCTTTCTGCCAAATGTCAAACTCCTCATTAGGCTTTAAGAATCTGCAAAACCCCACTTTCACCGTAAAGTCAGAACTCCAGCCTAAAATCTTTCCCTTCTGTTACCTTGGTTTTATTCTTGAGAAATGTTAGGCATTTTTGCAGGTTCTTTACATTATACCTTCTCAGTAGGAAAGGCAAAGCATCCAGGGCAGATAACAAGATGCTCTAGGCATTTCAAAATTTGCATTTTTAAGCTCCTTTTAAAAACAAGCACGTTAGCACCTGTATAACTGGAGTTATTTCTGAAAAACAATGTCAGTGACTGAGGAATAATAAGAGCTGCTAAACAACCTGAGAAGGACATATATCTTTGAGAAGACTGAGTGATTGGCAAATATATTACCTAATAGTGCACCGAAGCTCAGGGTTAACTGATATACGTCTTATTTTAGAATCTGATGGGCACTATGCAGATTTTACCCCTGATTTGGGTGGATATTTTAAGTGGACAGTAATTATAAAAGTTATGATTTTGACAAAATAATTTAAAAATCTAAAGAGCAGTCAGGGAAATAGCAACAGCTTTTAATAAAATGTTGATTCCACTGAGCTTAGTTGAAACAAAGTCATTAAATTGGAGAGATTTCCAGGCCTGATTTGGTTTCACAAAATTCCAGCCCACCATTGTCCTCCAGCAATTACAGTCACATAAACAGAGCTCTCACTGGAATGTTTTTACTAGCACTGTTGAAACAACAGCATTTTTTTCATTATTTCACATGTTTCAAAGAAGACACCAACAGGAAGCTCAAAACTGTCACGATTTCCTTCTATCAGGTTATAGAATCAGGTAGAGAAGTGGTAGATTGATGGCACATACATTCGTCTTTGAAAGAATACCTACAAAACATAGGACAGCGAAGAGCAAAAGTGGGAGGGCAGAAAGAATGAGAAGCCACCGCCAGCCAAGAGTGGGCATCACCAACACTGCTAGAAGGACTTCAAACACAGTCCCAATGGCCCAAAAGACCTGCCAAAGGGAAAAGAAACAGTCACAAATGAGAATAAGAGTGCTCTTAAGGCCTCTTTCTTTGTAACATTCCAAGACGAGCTCTCTAGGGACAGCTGGAGAGAGAAATGCCAGAGACATTTCAAATATGCACCACTGTATGGAAATAGAGTCCAGACATTTTAAGGGGATTTGTTTAAACGTTGCAGAAGCTAAAATGTTCATTTCTGAAAACCTAGCACCGACTTTCTCTAGACACTCATGTTTAACTGTAGGTAGCTTCTCATAAGGAATAGACTCATCACACAGTGTTTCTTAAGCAAAATGACTATTAATTTATCTGTCTATGAGTATTATTCCCAGCTACCACCACGAGATTTATGGTATTTGTTTTCCTTACCAAAACCAAGCTACCAAAGCCACAGAGTTTGGCCTGTGGATGAAAGAAGGAATTGATACCTTCTTAGCAAATGATGGAGCTGGCATCCTCTTGCATATCCTACCCATGCAGGATTATTCTCCTTTAGATTATGAATCCACTTAGCTCATTATTTAAGGCTCAGAATATATTTCTAACCCAGGGTTGCTCAGAGGCAGCCAAACTGTGGCAGAACAAAAGTGACACAGAAAGGAGTAATTCATCTACTGAACTCTATTTATGAAAGATTAATCAACTGAATGTAGGACTAGCCAGCAGATATCCTAGAAGACTGGTTTTGCATTGAGAAGCTGTTTCAATTTGGTGAGGTTTTCCACGAGGATGCTCTTTCCAAACTGACTGATGCAGACAAGTAATAGTACTATTCTCTGATCCTTCTACCGTCCGTTAAAGGGCTGCAAATTTTGCCTTAAAGTATTTATAGGGCAAAATTCTGCTCTCTGTGACTTTGATACATTTGGATTGAATATGGAGAGCTGAATTTAGCCCTGCATTTACTGAACAGTCAGTTCTCCACCATCCATTACTGAGTTGTAGATTAATTTCACCATGAAATTACGTGACACCTGAATGGCCCCCCTTGTGCTAACAGCAGTAACTTACGCAGCACTGCATGCAAGTTAATTTGCAAAAAGGTAGATTCAACAAAAAGAGTGGAGCATTACATGAATGCTTTATGCTGCTTTTGGACCTGAGCTAGTACTAGTGTATGGGGGTAACCTCAGCTCCACACTACTTGGACAATCAAGATTTGACTGCAGCTATGTGTGAGATTCTAATCGGTAGGACTGAATGGATGTAACCAACAGCAGAATTTGTCCCTCTAGGGACCAGTATGCATAGCTACACTGCTCACCTCTATTAATAAAATGCATTTTGCTCTGGCTTTCATTGGAAGGAATTCAGCATATAAGGTTACCCTGTAAAGAGTGAACATTGAGAAAAATGTCATGTTAGCACATTGAGAAAAATGCCACGTTAGCACAATGAGAGAGGTTCAAACATTTTGTTTGCCTTTTATTAAAACTGCCAAACCCATAGTAGTAACGCAAAACCCTTCCTAGCCCTCAGAGTCAGCAAGACTGTGGACACTGGTTCAGACTCCCCTTTCTACATCAGAACAAAACCCCTTTAGTTCATCATTGCAATGGAGGACAGAATTTGCTCTGTTCGTGTGATTTTGTAACCCTATAGTTGTTAGCTAAATGCAGCAGTTCTTGGTGCATATGTTTTCACAACCCTGCTCTGGTCTGGGACAGGCATTATGCCTGTTATTTTCAGTGTGGTCCATCAGCATTCAATACACTCTTGCTGGATAAAGTATTTCTTCAGGGCTTTACAACTGGCTCACAGAATTTCACATCAGTCTACTCTGCCAGGTTTCAATTCTCCAAGAGGTGAATACTTTCAAGGTCTGATCCTGTTACTGGTATAAAATAATTTGCATTCTTTTATTGTGGGAATTCAAAAAGAAATCATCTAACTCTGCAGAGCCTTTGTTTCAGACTGTGCCAAGGAGTAATGGTACAGCTTCTCTGTGAGTATTTCCTGAGGATGAACACAAGAGCCAGCAGCCAGTGAAGGCTCTCTTGTCTTCTTCAAACCGTCTGGTAAGACTTGTCGTTCTTCGCTCCTATTCTGTTTGCATTCCATTGACTCGTCCTGTTTCTGCCTCTAAACTCCTTAGGCTTTCTTTGATGTTTGTGACAAAACTCCTACTAACTTGACAAGTGGTGGATTGATCTCTGAGTAGCTTCCCAGAACTCAGTTCATCAAAGTACAAAGTTGCACGCAATATTATATTAAATCAGTGATTAAGAGGAGAAGGAAGTAAAATCATGTAATGAAATGTAGAGCAGTCCCCTATATATCGCAGCAGAAAACAGGAACTGATTAATGCTGTACAGAACTATTTTCTTAAGAGAATACTCCATATCTTTGCAAGTCTGAATGTTGGCACTGTGAATGAATAGTCATACTCAGTGTTAGATAATATCTCACAGAAAATTCCCAGAGGAGGCCACAGCTCCTCAGGTGCAGCTCCTACATATGTACAGATAGAGGGATGTCTGCTATAGTCAGTTAATTTATTATTGCTGGATGCTTTCTTTTTAATAGCACCTTTCATAAAAATCTCTCTCTCATACCCATTATAGAATATACAATTATAAAGATACCCATGTCATTCCATTGAAATTCAGCCACTCATATCCAAAGTTACATAGCCTACTTAAGGATATTAGAAAGGAGCTACTTTTCCTGCTTCATACATACTTACTCCTCTGTCAAAGGAGTCACTATTATAGTTAGAACAAGAAACAGACTCAGCAGCAATGGAATCCACTCTGAGTTCTGTAACCGGCTCTTTGTCTCTCATTAAGTCACGTAGCCTTTGTGCATTATCCGCCCCTCTGTAAAATGGCACTAGCTGTGCTGTAGCTGTTCCACTGGGGCTCTGTGGAACATCATTAATATGTGTTTGCAGTACAAGGCATTATTAACTCTGATGCTTTGTCTTTGTTGTTCTCCTGCCTCATTCCAGTTGCACTCAGTTGGAGCTGCATGGCAGAAACTGCCTTACTGTTGGGCAATACACGGCAGGCTAAGGGCTTTCCTATTTTACATACACGTTACGCTTTTGTGCAGCTTCTAAAGGTGGGCAGGAGAGCAGTAAAAGAAAATTAATAATACTGTGATGTTCCATCGCAGCTCTGAATCTTTTATCTGGGAATGGCAATAGAAAAGACAGGATATTGACTTGCCTTGTGAAGAAGTCTATGAGCCATCAATCAAAGTTAGACTCTGACTACTCCGAAATAGCACCTCCATGGGGCAAAATATCAATTATTAATAAGGATAAAAGACTACACAGAGAGAGAATGGCTATACTCTTCCCTTTACATTTATAATTAAAAGCCTAGAGCAGAGTTATTTATTCCAGGTGGAAAATTTAGAGATCCCCCTCTTCAGTGAATGGAATGACACAGTAATAGAGAAATATCCTGACGCTGCCTTCTTATTAGAAATGCATCTGAGCCATCAAGATATCTTCAGTGCTCCAGGTTTCGGCTGTGTGGTTTTGGAATTCCAACGCAGGTTCAGACATGAAAGTTCAGGCTCTGACTGAACAATAATCTGCAGTTTTACAATCAGGAGTCAGGGCTCAGCTCTACCTCCAAATGCTAGTGTTTAGGGCATGACCTGTTTTGCAACAAGACCACGTCATCCCTTATGGACTCCACCAATACAATCTAGCAATGCAGTGTTTAGGCACAGCTACAAAATGCTGTCTGTTGTGTTTTACCCACTTCGAGGTGGGCTCTTTGGGCCCCTCATTTTCACCATGGTTTACCCGAGGGAATGAGAGAAGCTTAAAAGGACTTAAGGCATATAACATATTACATTTAGGAACCCAGCTTGTTCGCATAGAAGTCATTGTAAATCCGATTCACCTCAGTGATGTATTAGGTATCTTCAAAGCCTTCTCAGAGTTTAATATATTAGTTCCAAAATACTTAGAAAAAAATGGGTTTGGGAAAACTTAACAGAGGCATGTCTTCAATTTGACATAAACATTTTTTAAAGAATAAATAGAGAAGAGAAAGTTTGGACTTGTGAATATTTACTTACGACTGAGGCACTCCTCCAATCCCAAAGCCCACCAGTCCCCTCAGCACCAAGATCCAGCTATATGCTGGTGCAAAACCACTGAGGATCCCATAATAGAGCGTCCACAACACACTGATCTTGAGGCCCTGTATTTAACAAACAAGCACGGGGAAAAGAAAATCTCTGCTGTAACACAAATTAACGAAATGTAAAGTAGAGCTTCAAACTCCTTTTATTTCATGGGAGGTGAATTCTGGCTCTGTTTAATTCTGCTCCATACATGTGGACTATGATATTTGTGAACATCATGCACTGAAACATCCACACTGCAGAAATATTAGACTATATTCTAGTAGGAGCTGAAGACTTACTGTTTTTCTCCCATACTGGTCTGAAATGTTTCCCCAGAGGGTGGAGCTGGACATCATTCCCACAAACACCACCTGTGAAACACCAGAAAAAAATCTTCCCCTTAACAAGACAAGTGAAAATTTCCGTATGACAGCAAAGAGAACACAACTTGACAGTGAAACTAGAAAATTTTGTCTCTAACAATAGCGCAAAATGTCCAGGTGTTCTGGGTATAGTGCCTTTGCAGTAGAGACTATTAAAGATCATTATTCATATGGTGGGATTTTTCAAAAGTCACTCAGCATTAGCCTAACTTCACTTCCATTGACTTGAAAGGGAATTTGCTATTGCCCAGGAGTGGGGATGAGTGTCAGCAGACTGTTCAAGCCAAGGTCTCTCAGCTTCTTCCAGTGGTGGGCCCATTTTCAGTAGTTGCCTTGCTTTTTGTTGAGGTCAGGAATCTAAACACAACATAAATAAACCGAATCTCTGCCAGGCTACTTGTCATCACCTCACCCTTATCTTACCTGTTAATTTGTGAACTACTGAATTAGACCAGTGCTGTATATTTTTGAGCTTTTGATAAATGGAAGAAAATTAAATATAAGAAATGACTGGAGAGCACAATTTGCCACTAAATGGAAATAATTTTCTTGTTTCTGGGCTGGGTTTTTTTTTCTGAAGGGTTTTCATAACTCACAAAAAAATCTTTCATCTGCTTCACAGCAAGGCCCCACTGAGTGTTTCATCAGGATTACTGAGGGGACAGGCAAGTGGAGAGAGGAGCAAGCAAGGGTTGGAGAGGGGAAGCAACTAGGCACCCCTCAAGTCAGCTTTGCAATTAAAAGATCCATCCAGTGACAAACCAGTCTGACACTAGAATGCGCACTCTGGTATTATGCACATTGTGAGTCCAGCCCTGGAAGATGCTGAGTTCTCCAGTTCCAATGAACATGTTCATGAATAAAAGCTGATCAGTGTTGCTTGAGGTCTGCAAGATAGAGCTGTTCTAGGAGCCCAGTGCTGATGCAGTACTTCTCAGACAGCTCGCCTCCAGTCTCCTACTGCCATTCTTAGCAGGTTGTCTCAGATTTGAATGGAGACAAAATTAGATCTTACAACTTTAGAAAAGTCTGAAAAAAGACTGAGGTGTCAAAGAAAATATATTGTACCCTTTTCAGAGGTGACACCAAAAAGTATAGTTTATTCTGTAGATGGAGAGAGAAATGAAATACTGCTCAATGAAGGTAACGGCAAAACCCAAGCACATTTCCCCCATCAGCACATTAAAACCATAGGATTTTTTTCTGAGAAAGAAGTGCATACTCAAGCAATAAGTGGGGTAGGAAGCAGTCCTGTTTGTCAAAGCTTTTGTCTCATGTTCACTGACCCCTTCTCCTTATGATTTTGCTCACTAAGAATAAAATCGTGCTGAGCTGAAAGAAGGAACAAGACCCTCCTTCAGATGGGCTGGCTGCATTCAGGTATAGGAAAGGACATGATCTTAACTGATTTAAATCTACTGAACATTTTGACCAATTTACACACCACCACAAATGGCATCAAAAGCTAAAGGAAACAGAAATGTAGGAGTTAAAGTGCATGCCATACAACAGTGGCATATGCTGAGAGAAGTGTCCCAAAACTAGTTTTCCTATCCCTAAAGGCATTGCATGTTTCCAACATCACAGCACTATACGTAGAGGTGGTGTTATAAGAGCTCTGCTTGCAAAGATGACTGGATGATCCACCTCGAAAAGCAATTGCTTGCTCTCTCTCATGGCTCCCAGGCTGTCTATGTGCAAGCGACCTTAAATGTGGTGAGAGAGAAAGATTTTCAAGAAAGATAGTAAAAATTTACCAATCCTTTTTTCAATTAATCAAATGGTTTGAGTTTTAGGATGAGTCTGAGTCAATTCATATATTTTCCTGGAAATTACATGAAACTTTGAACCTGCAACTTGCGAAATTTCCTCAGTTCTCACTGAGTTTCATTTCTTCAAGCTCTGGCTTTTAAAAAAGACTCCTATATTCTTCCGAGCCAAAGGCAATCTGCAAAAGCCATGAACAGATTTAACTTTGGGATATAAAGCATAATGTCTGAATAACAATGAGTGGAAAAACCTTACAGAATACAGCAGCTGTCAGTTATTTTTCCTACCGATGTGAGCAATGCAACCTGCCAGCTTGGTAATCGCCACTCACAATGAAGCTGAGGAGCTAGGATACTTAAAATCATCATTTCCATAGCATCTGCCATCTAGAAGGGTAAAAAAGAAACAAAAATAAATTAACTGCCTGAAAATTAGATTGACGTAGTGGTCCATAATATACCTTCTTGAAATTAACCTTGTTTCTGCTGGTGCCATTCTCACTCTGTAGGTGAAACAAAACAGTTATGTTTGCAAGGTACAGTGGATGTACACAGCGTAGAGAAAAAAAGCAACAGGTGAACTTTTAAACTAATTTCTGATTGTCATAATGTTTAGTAACGCTGGCAGAGAGGATTCAAAGAGCCAAATCAGAAGTTATCGGTGGGTGATTTCGAGAAGGCTTGTCTGGTCAGTCATCCAGGTTCATTCACTTCCATATTGCATATTACAGGGATGAGCTTTCAACTCCTTTACACACAGATTCAGTCAGAACTGTTTATTACCTTATAACTTACTCCCTTTTCCCTTATACACTGCTTCTGGATTTGTATCAAATATATTGATAGATCATCTGTAGACCAAATTCTACTACTGATTTAGGATCTAAACCATGGCAGATTGTAACCTTATATGTAGACAATAGCTGGTAAATACAGGCTCCAGATATCATTACCCTAAAATATACCACATTAGATGTAAAATATAGTGCTTCAGAAACAGCAGAAAAGTGAAAACAAAGCCTGTATTTCTGTTCTTGATATCAAGGTTAAAACTAGAAGTACTGGGTTGCTGATCACCTGAAACTGAGATTATAATAATACTGACTAATAAAGAAAACAGATATTGTAGCTAATGGGATGAATGTGGTAAAATCACTGATTTTTCAAACCCTGATTTATAAGAACTTCAGAGACAGAGAAATCAATCAGTTATTCATTACCCCCACATAACAAGTTTGAGTCCAGCTGTCATTTTAAAATTTCAAGTAAAATTCCTTCTTTATTGTACAATTATCTGTTTGGAGACTTTTTGTCAACAGAGAACGGCTACCTTATTTGAAATCAATGAGATTCTCTAACTGATGATCATGCAATTGACCTTGATAACCATTACTTGCCCATGCTAATCCAGTAATAACAGACAGCTTCCACTGGAACTTTCCAAATCCAATGGCTTCCACCGCATCTTCCACCATGAAAGTATCTAGAGAGAAAACAATTCTAGTGCAGAAGTGTATTCCTTTTCTAGTAAGAGCCATCCCTTGAGACAGCATTTTCTGTGAATGCAATTACTTATTAACTGGGTAATCTACTGAGATCTAAAACATATAACAGAGAGCGACTTTGCTTTTATACAGTTCCTACTCGGGAAAATCTCTACGTTCTTCAGGAATTGTGCTAAAGCTAAAATAATTCTAAATATTCCCAGAATATTTTATTCACACAGAAGTAAATCAGCGTAGCACCAATGACTCCAGCACGCATTCAGCCTACTACTCCTGGGAGTGGCTCCACCAGCCACTGAATTGCACCTTCCTCCGGTGAGAAGTGTATGAGCTGTTCAACAGCAATACTATGCAAGAGATGGAAAGTGCAGAAGAATATCTTACTGCATGGAGAGTCAAACTGTAATTATTTGAATCAAGAATTTGTCCAAGACATATATCTTGAAACACACTTTTGTTAAAAATGCTGATGGTTCTTGTTTCCCACACATTGTCATGACCTCATTATTTTTTTCTACCTGAAGAAGCTGAGATATCTCAAATTCCTTTGCTCAAGTGCAAAATGAAATATACAACAAAAATACATTTTGATATTCAAGTTGTTTAAATCAATTTAAGTCTCAAAGTTTTAACACTTCCAGCAGTTTAAAAAGTACGTTCACCACGGAAAAGTTTTATCTAGCTAAGAGTTGGACATCCTCAGAAAGCAAAAGACAAAAACACAAACCAAAAGGAAGTCAAACAAAATCTAACTGATAAAATGAAGCAGAGATGTCATAAAACCTGTCTGTGACTTCAGCCCAGGCATTTGATGTGATGGCCCTGAAGCTCAGCATATTGGGTTGTTGCATCACTTGCACTTTTTTGGGCGATGTGCCAACTGAAATTCTACATATATCTGCAGACTTGCACTGATGCACTGAGTCTTTTGAGAAACTCACTGAGCTCACTCCATGGTATTTTGGCTTCCTATTGCATCAATCTGTTAATAAATAAGTCCCTGGGAAAGTAGTCATCCTACAAAATTTTAGTATGCCTTGTGCTAAGACAAAATCAACGTTTCTCATGTCTTCTAAATTGGTGTTGCCTTCAGGGCAGTCAGCACCTCTCTGCTAGGCAGAAAGCAGAGGCTGGGATGTACATTCATTCTGTCCCTCTTGTCCTCTAGGCAAGGAGGAGACAGGAACACTGCAGAGGCTTCATGCTCAGCCTTGAAGGTGAGCCACGTGTAACTGCTCCAGTAAACTTGGCAACATTTTAGGAGCACTGATCAGTTCTAAAGGAAACTAAGTCAAACCTCCTGTATGAAATAGGTGGTGACAACTGGATACACAACTCCTTAAAAGGGTCTATTACTGGTAATATAAAAACAAACACATAAAGCATCCCTCAGAGAACAAGGTAGCTAAATAATGATTTTCAGGTGTAACATAATTTGCCTGTGTTATTGTTCCCTTCTTTGACCTGGGGATCTTTAACTTCTCTAAACCCAATGTATTCAGCCTGGTAGCAACATGACTGAAATGAAGAGGCCGCACCTTTCTCCTTACAGGAAAACAAGAAACCTACTCACCATCAGTTGGGTTGGCAAATTCTTTTGGCACTGCAGCTCCATCCTCAAGCTCAATAGGCTCTAGCTCTGTCCGCACACCCTCAATCTGAATTTCATGTTCTCCTGAAATGACATCCTCATCTGACCTTGAACTTTCCCCAGTGCGGCGAAACTTGACCACCCTAAGGATACAGAAACAAGGATCAATACTTTGGTGGGTCTTTTCCAGGTCGAAGCTGTGTTTGGTTAGTCTTGAAGCCCTATTTGGTCAAACAGTAGCCAGGTTTCTCCCCACCCTCCTGTCTCCATTTCACATTCACAGAGAATGCTGTGACTTTTATCTGTATCCGCTTTTAGATATGGGATCCTGCTGGTTGCTACTGGCTTTGGAAAAACTGCGGAGGTACATTGCTATATGATATAATCACCATTTTTGTACAAAGAAGATGTTATCGTGCTAACATATAAAGTTATAAAAACATACAGGTTTAACATAAAAATATGTTAAAATGATACATTTAATCGTAACCATGTTTTGTGTGCCTAGACTTTTATTGCGAATTAGACATAGCTGTGTCATGGAATTTCAAGTGCTTTGTCTTTGTAGGAAGAACCCAAATTCAATTTTCCATGTTGATTTCATAAGAGTGATCTGTGTCTTAGGAGAAGCGGAACTCCTGAAATTTGTCAGATTTTTAAGCATTACTTAGTGAAGTAGGATTCATACGACAATTCAGTGAATTGGCTGATTTTTTTCCATTATGGTGATGATTCTGTGACTGTAAATAAGATTACTTTCATTTCTTGTCTTAAACTGAAGTCTTTAATATTATGCAATTAATTAAATACCTGTATTTTAAGAAACTATTTGATTTCCAATACTTGGTTCATCTGTGCATTTTTTGAATCTCCTAGGTAATGAGGTGGGACAGAATAAGAAAGTGAATCAAAGGATACTCCTTTTCATTAAGTTCAAGTCAAGACTGAAGAGTATACCTGCCTGCCAGTTATAGTCCTGGCATATGAGATGATGATTGTCACATGAGTGTCATGCTCATGGCTGTCTGTATTTTATATAATTTCTGGCCCTAGATGAGAGATAATCATCTAATCTCTGCAGCAAGGCCACGGAGAGAGTAAGACATGAAAACAGAACTTTGTTAAATCGACACAACTTTCACGTTTTGGTTAGAGTGATTTTGTGCAACGCTTCATGTACACAGAGGAGCTCCATTTTCCGTCAATTAAGTTTCCTGTGACCAAACAAAGATTTTGAAACAGATCTACCATATTTAATGTATCAGATTCCTCAAGCTTCCTTCACTTTACCTGCAACATCAGTGTAACTTTTTCACCTTGGCAACTGACAATTTCTTGCACGTCAGTTAAACATTTTGGAAATAGATTAAATTAGTCTTGCTACTACCTCTTCTGACTTCCAATATCTGAACATTTTAACTCTACAATAAAGATTAGCAGAGAGCCTCTTGAACTTCAGTTTAATCCTCTGGTTTAAGGGTCAGCAAAACTAAACTATCAGCATCCCTGCCAACTGCAGCTGCAGCAAACTGACACGCATGTATGACCTTTCTAAAGGTGATCTGAAAGGCTTTTCATATTTGGCAAGACCTCAACTCTTGTTTTCTCTTACAAGTGCTGATGATACAATCAATACTTAATATAAGGGCAAAGTGATGGGCAACCTACAAAACCCCCAGAAATGGATTTTGGTCCAATGGTAGACAAGGGGATGGAGGAATGAACATCTCAGTCACCCATGGGGTTTTTTACAAAGAGAGGAGTCCTGGCCATGACCAGCCATTCAGTCCAGCTTAAAATTTCACTGTGGTAGAAACATAAAGCAGAGGGATACAAAACTTTTTTTTCCTCCTCACAGTTCTGGCACATGTTATTTCCCTGACCACATCCCATTCGGGGAATTGCACATATTCACTAATGATATTCTGGCAGTAACCTGGAGAGAGAGAGAAGTACAGTGACCATTTTGTGAGGTTATCACTCATCTTTAGGACAGACTGCTTTGCAGGCTGTAGAGATGTTTTGGGATGATTTTTTCAGGTAAACAGGGCATTCCAAGAGCTGTATGGGGCAAATATTCCTTGTACTACTTTAGTAACGCTCTCAGCTGCAGCAGGAAACTGAAAGCTTTTCTCTGGCCTTTATGTCTTGGCAGACAATAACAGAGTCACAAATTTTGTTTTCTAAGATAACATTTGAAGATCTTAAACATAAGAACACAGAACAAAACCCCAGACCTCTTCGAAATGAGCAGCAAAACTACATTGACTGCAGTGAAACTAGGGTTTATCTCACACTCTGATTTGGGGTATGCAGAGGATCCTTCACTCAGTTATAAGGAAAGACAAACAAAACAATGAAACATCTGAATTCAGGTTCATATTTTGTTCCATTGAGAAACTAAATTTTAAATTCTCTTAATCTGATTGTTTTTTTAACCTCAGCACAACTATCTTGGTTTGAATTTTCTTTTGCTGACCCTATACGACAAACACAAGTAATTATTACTCTCGCGTTAAAATAGTCACTGAAGATATAATCCTCATGTGACATACAAAATACACACTTTCAGCAAACAAACACTGAAATTTGTATGCCCATGAAATGACTTTTTTATTACAAAGGGCAACTGATATCAAAGTACCATTCATATCTTATTTGCAACAGCTTTACAAGCACCTGGTTTAACTATACAGGAAGTAAACTTTCATGTTTGTGTTTTTTTAAAGGAAGACTATCACTATAACTTCAGCAGTCTCAAAGCCTGGTGCAAAGTTCATTGAAGTATGCGGACACCTCTTCCCCAGATTTCAGGAGGTCTCAAGTGCCACTGCTCCATGGGATTATGACTGAAAATCATTCATACAACCTATGCTGGTAACTGTTCAGTGTCCTAGAAAGTCACGAGCAAAATAAACATGCCAATAAAAACCTTCCTGACTTTTAAAGCACCTGATCACAAAACCCCTGTATTACTGTTTCTTATTTTGTAGTATTTGTTGAAGTAGACTTTCAGAACTGACCATTTTGGAGATGACGGTTCCAGACGCTATACAAAGGCAGTGACTGATCTGAAAATTGTAAATACTTCAATGGCAATCTGAGTAGAGAGCTATCTGGCCACATTCCTCATCATAGGAAACAAAAAAATATGTTTACCGCTTAGGAACCTATGAAACAAATTGACACAAATGAAGAAAAAAACACACAGTGATATTTATTGTTCCATACTTGCAAAATTCTTCACAGCTGAGACATCTCAGAGAGCTGCATTTGTTTGCAAGATCTCACAGCACCAAACAAGTCTAATTACACCTACACTGAAAGGTACTTTAGAACATTTTTCTGTGTTTTGGGTTTGGTTTTTTTTTAAAAAAAAAAGAGATTGAGAAAAATGGCCTAATGAAATCATGTTTAGTCTTTTTACTGACAAGCTGAATGCATCCAAACTAAGTATTTAAAAATAACTGGAGTTCATGTCCATTTTCCCAACTTACTAGAAATGTTACGGGACAGTTTGCTCTGTCATTGACATGAGCTCATTAATATTTAAAATCAACTTTAAGCATTTATTCCCTGCCTTGCAGAGTCAATGATTTATAAATAGGAATATGCTTCAAAGCACCTGATAATGGAGCATTAGGAGAAATGCACTTGTTTTTAAAGGAAACATTTTGCATTCATGAAAAGGAAAGGAAATACTGGTGTTAAAAGGCAGCAATGCTTTTATCACCTTTTTGCACAGATCCAGCAACCGCATCCCAACAGCAAGGAGTTCCTCACAAATAACAGCATTTTCCTTGTGCAGCAATGTTTGCTTCTCCAAAACATACAGTTAGCAAATATCGATGATACTCACTGCAAACACACCTTTGCAAAAAAGGTTTTGATCTGCAATCAGTTCGCGGCATGAAGGAGGAAGCCGAGGAAGATGCCTTCCCTAGCACAACGTTATTTACAGATGCAATCCACCTTGCAAATGCAATAGTAATGTTTCCTCTCAAAAAACCTTTTGGCACTTCTACGGTTTTATTCCACCCCTCCTTATTTCTACCACCACCAAGTTCATGCAAAAAATAAAAATTGAGTGAATTTATATAACAAATGGATCCCTGCATGCCCCCAGGATGCTGAACCCAGGCAGCTGTGCAAGGAAAACGGCCTGCTTCCCGGGGCCTAGGACACTTCCTAGAAATAATTCCCTTAAAAATCAGCAGGATTCACAATATCCCTGCAGCCCGTTTAGAAGAAATCCTGCGCATCCCCACTCCCCTGTCGGTGCTACTCACGGCAGCTGTCTCAGCTGGAATAAATCATCCTCCATTGCCGGGCTGCGTCTGGAGGAGCTGCTCTCATCGCTCTCGCATGGCGGGGATGGCTGGAGCTGCGGGCGGGCAGGCGCGGGCGG